TACAAAAGCAAAAGCAACCAAAGCCACAAAAACTTTTCAAATCGTCTCTGCCATTCCTTTTACTTTACAGAGCATATGGAGATTCTGCAAAGAAAATGAATTCTTTAGACAACCACTTGTTTGAAGGGATGGTGGGACCAAAGCCAAGTTCACCTTCTCCATTCAAATATTTCATTTTACTTTAGAGTTCACAAAACATTTTACTTGCTCTTAAAAATGAGAAGCAACAATCAAAACAAGCAGGGTGACCTTTTGAAAATGTGACAATTTTGTCCAGATTATGAATCAATTGAGCCACATTGTAGTCATGGGTAGGAAGACAGCTCAGTCTGTGAAGTTACTGCACAAGCGTGAGAGAGACACTGAGTTCTACCTCCAACACACAAAGAAAAGCTTCTGTGGCAGCAACTGCCCATAATCTAGCACTGGGGGGTGTCAGGAGAGGACAGGAAGATCCCTAGGCCTTGCTGAACAGCTAGACTAGTGTGACCAGCATGCCCCAGGTTCAGTGAGAGACCCTCTCTAAAAAACAGGAAATGGTTCCTGAAGAACACCATCCAAGGCCCACTTCTGGCTTACACACACAGATAGAGAGAGAGAGAGAGAGAGAGAGAGAGAGAGAGAGAGAGAGAGAGAGAGAGAGAGGGAGGGAGGGAGGGAGGGAGGGAGGGAGGGAGGGAGGGAGGGAGGGAGGGAGGGAGGGAGGGAGGGAGGGAGGGAGGGAGGGAGGGACAGAGACAGAGACACAGAGAGACAGAGACAGAGAGAAACAGAGACAGAGATACATGCCCACATACACATGTGTACCCACACACAGATAATACCAATGAAATACCAATACATACCTTTTAGAATAACCTGATTTTGATCCATAGAACCCACATGATAGAGAGAACTGTCTCCTTCAAGTCGTATGCTGACATTCACATGTGCCCTCATGTGCACATGCATAATAACATATAACATGTAATAAATATGAAAAACATACAAGTTTAAATCTGTTCAATGGACTATGGTCATGTTATAAGCTATCATAATAGAGTTACATGAAAGTTATGATCAGAAGAAAAGGTGTTTTAGTACTAATAAGGAACGCAAATGATATAAAAAATTATCAGAATTTATTGTGACGGTTTATCTTCATTTCAAGTTGACTGGATCTTCTAATGACCTAAGAGACACAATTTTGGTTATGTCTATGAGGGTCTTTCAGTGAGGCTTCCCTGTGGAGTATGGAACCACCTGAATGAGGGCTGGGTACACAGTCTAAATGTTAGCATGAGTAGAAGGAAGAACTGAGCACCAGCACTCATGTCTTTCTACTTCCGTGGATATAATGTACCCAGCTGTTATGTTCCTGCTGTCATACCTTTCCTATTTTCCCAAGTCAGAGCTATGACAAACAATGTGTCCAAATGAAGTCAACTACAAAGAATGAGTATTTTCTGGGAACTATAGTGTTGTGGGTAAGGCTAGAAATCACTTCACCATTCATTTCATACCGGTCAGGATCAGCTCCTCCAGTGATTCAAGAATCCAGAAAGCACATAATAAAGAGAAGCAGGGTGTAGGGGAGGGAGAAAGGGAGAGAGAGGGGGGGGGGAGGAAGGGAGGGAGGGAAGGAGGGAAGGAAGGAGGGAGGGAGGGAGATTCTATGCAAATAGTCTGCCATTTTACATAAGGGGCTTGAAATGTGGTAATAAAAAGAGGAAAGGATGTGAAAACGGGGATGCTATAGGGCTTCAGAGCTAAATACAGAGCCCCAGGAACATAGACTTTCAGGTACAGATAGGAGAAAGAACTTGATGACCCTACTCCAACCATTTGGTTGGTCCTCTTCTTAGTCACAACTGACAAAATTTGGTACAGGAAGATTGTACTGGGATATTCCTATTTCTTAGGGCATAGTCCTCACACAGATCAATACAAATAATTACTGTATAGCGTATTCACATTTTAGACAAGTTTCTTCAAGTCCAGCATTTAAAAATGTCCATTTGGACCAAGACCTCAACAAAAATCCAGCTACACTGAACCTCTTAGAAGAGAAAGTGGGAGATACTCTTCAACTAATTGGTAGAGGAGACGGCTTCCTGAACATAACACCAGTAGCACAGACACTGAGATCGACAATTAACAAGTGGGACCTCCTGAAACTGAGAAGCTTCTGTAAGGCAAAGAACACAGTCATCAAGACAAAAAGGCAGCCCACAGGAATGGGGAAAGATATTCACTAACCCCATATCTGACAGAGGGCTGATCTCCAAAATTTACAAAGAACTCAAGAAGCAAGTCTCCCAAAACATCAAAGGATCCAATTAAAAAGTGGTCTACAGAACTAAATAGAGAATTCTGAATAGAGGAATCTAAAATGGCCAAGAGACACTTGAGAAAGTGCTCAACATCCTTAGCCATCAGGGAAATGCAAATCAAAACAACTCTGAGATACCATCTTACTCCTGTCAGAATGGCTAAAACCAAAAAACACAAATGACAATTTATGCTGGAGAGGATGTGGAGAGAGGGGAACACTCCTCCACTGCTAGTGGGAGTGCCAACTGGTACACCCACTTTGGAAATCAGTATGGAGATTCCTCAGGAAAATTGGAATCAATCTACCACAAGTCCCAGCAATTCCACTCTTAGGCATATATCCAAAAGATGCAAACTCATACAACAAGGACTTCTGTTCCACTATGTTCATAGCAGCATTATTTGTTAAAGCCAGAACCTGGAAGCAGCCTAGATGCCTCTCAACTCAAGAGTAGATAGAGAAAATGTGGTATATTTACACAATGGAGTACTATTCAGCGAAAACAACAACAACAAAAACCAAAAACAAAACAATGGAATCTTGAAATTCCCAGGCAAATGGATGGCACTAGAAGAAATCATCCTGAGTGAGGTAACCCAGTCACAAAAAGACAAACATGGTATGTACTCACTCATATATGGATTTTAGACATAGATCAGGGGAGTGCCAGTCTGCAATTCCCCTGACAGAGTCTGGGAAACAGGAAAGAACCTAAGAGATATGGAAGGTACCCCAGAGAAGAGGAATGAGGCAAGATCTTCTGAACAGACTAGGAGCAAGGCAGGGGGTGGGGGGAGTGGGAGCTGGGAAGAAGAGAGGAGGAAGAGAGAGTAGGTCATGGGAGAGCATGAAGTTTGAGTTGGGGGAAGAATAGGGGGAGAACAGGATGAGAAATACAATAATAGAGGGAGTCATTATAGGTTTGAAGAGAGATCTGGCACCACTGAGACCTCTAGCAATCTACAAGGATGACACCAACTGGCAAGCTAAGCAATAGTGGAGAGACTGCCTTAAATGCCCATTCCTGATAATGAACTTGAAGATTACCTTATATGCCATCCTAGAACCTTCATCCAGTGACTGATGGAAGCACAGGCAAACACCCATAGCTAAACACTGAACTGAACCCAAGGAACTCAGTGACAGAGAGAGAGGAGTGATGAGCAAACAGGCAAAGAATGGGCTGACGAAACCAGCAAAGACAGTTGATCTGAACAAGGGGGAGAGCTCTTGAATCCCAAACCAACAGCTGGGAGGCCAGCATGGGACTGATCAGACCCCTGAGTGTGAGAGTCAGTGAGGAGGCCTGGGCAACCTATGGGGCTCTGGACAGTAGATCAGTATTTATCCCTGGCATACAAATGGACTTCGTGTGTCCCTAACACAAAAAGGGATGCTCTCTCAGTCTGAACTCTTCGGGGAGGGCCTGGACCCTGCCCTGAACGAAATGGCAGAATCTGGATATCCCCTATGTGAAAGGGATTGGGGATAGGGTGGGAGGCTAGAGGGGATGGTGAGGGGGTACTGGAGGAGGGGAGGGAGAGGGAGCTGTGATTGACATGTGAAGGAAGCTCTTTTCTAAAAAAGTGTAATAAAAATAATGAAAAAAGGGTCTCAAATTTTGAATCAAATTAAATTTGATTTTTGGAGGACACTGAAGGTGAATTTTATGTTGCTGACAAATGATATAAAGTGCACATCTGCCAACAAGATATTTAATAAATGTTTTGGTCTATGGTCAAAAAAATAAAAATATGTCCATTTAGAGACAAAACTGTTAATCTCTTCTAGCAGGTTCCATCAGGAGGAACATGAGGGCCTACTAACTTGTCCTTGATTTCCAGGCTGCACCTTCAGAGGTTTGGAGTTAAAGGTCTGGGTTATATTTGCACAATTGGCAGCTTTTAATTACATTCCAGTCTGATTCCAGTAACCATAGAAGCAGCACTTTCTGGTTTCCATAGTGCTAAAACCTGTGTCCTGAGCTTCCTGGACATCTCATTATCTGCATTTTCGAAACTAAGACCTTTCAAATGATAGCTGGAATGAGGTGGTATTTATTACTAAGGGTTGGTTGGAGTCCCCAGGAGCACCAGAAGAAGCTGGAGACAGAGTAATAAAAAAGATGCAGGAAATTAGTCATGGTTGTATGTTGTGATGCTGAAGTTCCCCAGGAATTTTCTTCTTGTAGTCTCAAATACTTTTTAACCTTATTCCTTTAGTGGTATTTGAAATCCATTTACTCCCCAAAATTTACAAGATTAATTTGTGTTTTGAAAGAGGATCTCATGTAGCAGAATGGCTTCACACTTCCTATACATCTCAGGATGGGCTTGAATATCTGATCCTCCTTCACCTCCCAAGTGCTGAGATTACATGTGTATACCTCCACACCTGGCTGCAGAAAGCTTTCTCTAACTCATCCTCACATCAGTTCTAAATGGCTCACCCTAGTTGTAATATAACCAATCCATCCCAACCCAAACATCTCCATTCTACTTACATATGATATAGTAAGCATTATCCTTTACAGCTCTATTCTTATGCTGTATGCAGACACAGATGCAAGCACACACTTAAAAACTGAGTTCTGCACATATTCTACATTATAAACAGAAGCAAGCACATTTTAAGCCTAAAGGTTAATAAAACGGTATCCACTGAATGAGGACACAGCACAGCAGCATTACAGATACTTTTTTAATGACAGCAAGTGGTAAATTAATACAAACTACAGGCTACGATATACTGAATACAAAACCTATTCGGGATACAACTAGAAAAGCATCACTTAACAAGTCAGTCTGAAGCAAGTGGCTAAGAAATGCAGGCCCCATTGTGATGACACAAGTTTTACAGACAGCACGTTGGCACTTCCACCCCCCACCCCACCCCCAGTCAGTGGCCATAGCACCACTGGTCACACTGGTGACTGAAAATTCTAACACTCAGCATTGACTTCAAGGGACATCTCTGTTAACATGTTCACTATGCAAACTCAGACAAGAATATGTGAACGTTCTTTGCAAACTGTAAGGTGCTGTGCAGATGTTGTTAGCTATTGCTATTTTTCCTGTTCAGTGAGATTTCACCAAACATGGAAGGAAGACTAGATTGTATACCTGACAATATGACTTACATAACATCTTAAAAAGAACAGCTACTTCAAGCACACATAGCAATTAACACAGGTGTAAGCATGGTTGGCAGCTATATGGAGAGATTCTGGAGTTTTCTAAGGAATGATGGGTTAAGCTATTCACAGGTTATGTATTGAGGGGTAGCTTCCCAATGTCTCTTAGAGTAATTTATTTTTAAGATAACTCCAACCCCCTGAAAAAAAGTTTTGTCAAGCTATTAGAGTGCACTGCAGCACAACTCTGGTGAAAATGAACTTGGAAGCTAGGAGTAGAATCTGAATGAGAGAACACTTGAGAGTAAAGAAACCTGCCATTGGCCTAAGAAGACAAGTGGCAAATACTGTGCCATCATTGAACCAATTATCAAATGGGCCTAACAAGTCTATAATTTGCTATACCTAAGCACTAAATATGAAACTGTCTGGAGACATAGTGGACACATGTAAAACTGGATTTCAATCCTTTCTTTCCTGTACCTGCACCTTTAGTCTTCCTTGGGTGCATCTTACTTGTCAAAAGACTTTTACTGCCTGTTTGATGTTCCATCTATATAAGGTTTATATGAAAATAAATACAAGCCCATTGGTTGATTCTTTTGGTAAAGTCAAATTCATTGTTTTTGTAGGGTTTTGTTGTTTTGAGACAGGCTCTCATTTAGCCCCAGGGTGCCCTTGAACTCCTGATCGTCCTGCATCTGCTTCCCAAATACTGGAAGTACAAGCATATGTCACCACAGCTGGCTTGGTATGACTTTTCTGATGTAAACTTTCAAGGTATTATAATTACTACTAGATTCCCATAAAACACCCAGTTATTTTAAATAGCAAGTTTAAAATTCTTTACTATCATTACAAACCAGAATGCTGTAACATGTGAACTGGCAGCCATTTGAAGAATGAATGATACCAGATGCATCTTACAGTAGACTTCCATTTCTTCAGTACTTGGGGTAAAGATTATTTAGGAGACAAATCAGAAGATAAGGAAGATATTGTTACAGTAAATGGGGTAAAATCAGTAGCTTGTACTGACATTTCAAGTTATACTCCCTAATTGAGATTACTGTTTCAACTAGGTTTAGAGCATCAGTGAACATAATCCTGCCAGAAAACACTTAACAGTTCAACTGTAGCTTTTCTTCTAACACATCATGAAATATGTACTTTGTGCAAAAGGGATCTAGTTAGAAACCTTGAAAAACATGTCTACTTGTCAAATACCACATTCATTAACATAGCTAACAGCAGCAAAATCATGAGTGAGCAGTCAAAAGTCTAGAAAACAATTAACAGCATTGAAAACAAATCTATTCTGTAATAATTCTAAATATCAATGTGAATATTTAATTTAATGTTCAAACACATTGTACTTTATTCCCAAGGGAAAATTACATGTGTTTACATGTATCCTTGGTTAAAATACTTTAAAAAAAACCTGTACCATTATTTAGTGAGGAATGTATGAAACCAAAAAGAATAACCCAACAGTGTATCTTACAAATAGTACAAGATTCCTAAAATACAAGAAAAAAGAAACCTCAGCATTATATAAGAAGAAACTGAGTGGACAATTCTAAATACAATAGGCCACCTAATAAGGTAACCATCTAGAAATCTAACACACAATGTCTGAGACTCAAATTTCATAATACTAAAAATTGCAGTCTTTACAAAATAAAGATCCTTATATTTAGAATACTCACTTTTAAATACAAATTACGTACAATAGTTAAATTTAAGAATTAAGAACAATCCTTCAATAATCACATTAATCTTATTTTTGCAACAATATAACGCTAATACATATCTTTATGTCTAACCACCTATTTCTCTATTCTAGTTCCACAACATAAAAATAACAGCAGACAAACAATCAATAATGGCAAACATTTAAGCAGGGAAGCATTCATTACATTAGGATTATCAGTAACAGGTATCTGAACTTTCTTCATTTTTACAATTAAATTTAACTGGTATATAAAAACAAAAAGCATATAGCTTATAGGGTGCCATGTAATTTTTTGAAATATGTACATATTACACAGTATTTAAATTGAGTTATCTCAAAATTTTATTTTATGGTAAAAATATTGAAATGTAAATTTTAGAAGACTAGAGATAGAATGTGCTTTGTAAGACAATGGGAAGTTATCACATATCTGCAAAACTGAAAATAGCTCTTTGGTGAAGTTGGCAAAATCAAAACTTAAACCAAGGTTGTAGTGTGTATGGAACTAGCATTAAGAAACATCTTTCAAAATTGCATGGGGGTTGTGAACTACTGATGATCTGCAGGTAGTAACACTATGGACCAATTTTTACTTTCTTTCTATTTTTATATGTATTTTTCCAGTGTTTTATAGAACATATATTGTGAACTTTTAATAAATAAATATTTGGGGAACACCATTTTTAGATTGCATATATACAGTACCAAGTGGTTTATCTGACCATAGACTGAAGTTACCGAGACAAGGTAAAGGGACTTTTTTTTCTGAGGCTGGGGTATTCTCATCAAAAAAGACTTGAAGGATTATCTATAAATACAGGGTGTAACTTAGCTCTGATTTTAAAAAAATCAACACAAACTCCAAAAATACCTCGTAAGAAATTAGATGTTTTCAAGACTGTATATATTCTTATGTGTGATAGATGAACATTTTGGCATTCTAATACTTATCATATACTATCTATTTTAAAGTAGGACAACACATTAAATGGAATTTTGATAAACTTTGCAACTGAAGCCTAATTTCAAAGAAAAATGAGGGCACAATGTTAGTACGATAATCACAATGCTGACAGCCAACTCAATTCTTTGCCTCAATAATCCTAAATTCTCTATATGAATAAGTATGATTTCAGCAACTTTCCCCATTAAATAATGGAATGTGAGAGTTATCATTCCTCAGTGACATTCAGATTATCTACACTGCCTACAATTTAGATAACTTTCCACAGGAAATTAGAATCTCAAATCCAAGGGTCTGGTATTTTCCAGGAAGTCCACCAGTGAAAAGAGAAATTTAGATTTGCTTCACTGAGTGTTTCTTAATCTACCCAAATAAATAAAACTGAAAAGCAAGTATAAGACAAATTGCTACACATTTGTTAAGGTAATTAAATTCTTCCTAGGATATAACTCTTTTAACATATACATTTGTACCTATTTAACTTTTCCAAATTTTCATGAAAATGGAGATTCAGAGTTCAAAGTAACCACATTATTGGGTAGGTCAGAATTTAGCCAAATGCGACTGACTGCTTAAGATTGATTTTAACATGTTCTTTCAACTTTATTCAAACAAAATGTATTCAATTATCAATACCCCAGAAGTACTTAACATATTCAAAAATAAATTTCATGCTATCAAAAGGTGATGTTCACTTTAATCCTGTTTGCCTTCACGCCACTGTCTTGAACCTTCATTCCAGGCCACATAGACAAACAGGGCCAGAACCACATGAACAGCAACAACAGCAACAATTGCAGCATAAAAGTAGCTGTCTCTATTGGACATTCCGAGGGCACCTATCAAAAAAAAGAAAAAAATTCATTTTTATTCCACACTTACCAAACTACAAAACTCAACGACTTAAGAATTTTGTTTGGAATGAAGACAGGTACAGAAAACAACACACAATCAAAACACAGAGTTATGTAACCTAGTCCCAATGACTATATCTATAAAACAACTCCTGCACCTAAGGCCCCAGCAACACTACAAAAGAAGGAGCACAAAGACTGTAAGAGACAGAGGAACAAGGAGTTTTCTATGACATTATTCCTCCTAGTAATGTTACAAGGTACACCCCTAAAGTCTCACCAACATGACTGCCTAAAGGAGCTGAACAAGAACAACAATAATAGATATGCTAACATGGATGAGGAAAAGCCCAGGAGGCCTCACCTTATGCAAAGAACTTCAGGCAACTAAGGAATGCTAAGAGTGAGAGAAAGAAATCTTTCACAGGAAAAAACACAATTGGTTATTTGATACCAAATGGTCAGCCTGGAAAATATATACATACAAGTAAAATTATGCAGACTGAGCATGTTGTACTTTATATTTAGGAAAACACACACACACAAGAATTAATGAAAAAAGAGATCATGAGCTCTGGTAACATTTACACTATAGTGAAATTATTCATATCTTCGAATGTAGAAGGACATTTTGTCATTTGTGAGTGATTCCCCAATAAATACGTGACTTCCCTTTAAAAAAAGAGATCATGAATTTGAAAGACAGCAAGAAGGGGAATATGGGAGGTTTTGGAAAGAGGGAAGGGAAGGAAGAAATGATATAATGTATATTGTATCTCAAAAAGTAAAAGAAATAAAAATATAAAATAAAAAGAACTATGAAAATACAGTCTTAAAAAGAAAAAGAAGACATAAAACAAATGTATATAACCATCATGAGAGACAGAATGGCTTGTTAGAATGAGCAGAGATACATATGGTTTTTTCCTTCTCCTCGTCCACTTCTTCCTGTTCCTCCTCCTGTTTCTCATTAATTACAAAATCTCACTCTGTAGGTCACAGTGACTAATAACTTGAGATCTCCTGTCTCAGTTTCCCGAGTACCAGTGTTAAGAAATATTATGCCCAGTTGAAATCTATAACATCTATTAAGAAATTCTCTTGACATTGTCCCACTGGCTGTCATAACTGATCTCATCATTATGTACAAATAATATATATGAATAAAATACAATTCTATGTAAAATATAATGGCAGGCACTTATAAAAAGAATTATTTATAGCTTAAAAATAGTTCAACATGAAAAGGTACTAATCACAGCCTGCTCTACAGAAATCAGAAAATGCCAATGCTTATTTTTTGACATCAATATGATTTCTTATACATATTTGTAGCACAAATATGATTTCACACAAATAGACAGATATTTAAGAGCAATAAGAGAAAATGAAAGAGCACTATAAATAGACTTGGTACCCAATTACCAACTTATGCTGCTTTAGTTTATAATTCTACCCCTATGATAACAGGAAAGACATGTCTCAGTTCCATTAAATGTCACAAGGCACGTCAAGAGAACAGTGCCCATGACACAGACCTTGGAATTACCCTGTTTTCATTTCCCATTTCCACCAGTTACTTGTAGTGCAGACCACAATCACTTTAACCGTTTTGTACCACATTTATAAAATACTACAAATTAGTTCAGAAGTTTGTCGTGGAGATTCTGTAGATAAACTCATGTATGTAATAAATATCAAAAAAAATTAATTGATTTTTTTGACAGGGTTTCATGTAGCCCAGCCTGGCCACCAACTCTTTTATGAGTCCAGGCCCTAATAATGCCTCCACCTCCCAAGCATTATACTCCACCTCCCAAATATTATTGTCATGCATTACCATATCCAGTCAACCAAAGCATATGAATTCTTACTGGATATATATATTATATATATATATATATAACTAGTTAAGCACAAGGAATAAGAAAACAAGTTTAACAATAAAAAGATTCATAAAAGCACTGAACAAATTAGAAATGAAAAATGTCCTCAAACATGTAAAAATTACCTTCAAATACATAAGATTTAGTTGTAAAATACAACCCAATAGGAACTGTGATCATTAAAGCTGTGAAGAACAGGAGTGTCTTGAGGGTTGAAGCTAAAGAGTTTTCATTTCTGGAAGAAAATGAAAAAACAGAAGTTTCACAAGTCATATCCAAATATGATAATTACCCTCCTGAAGATAAAAGAATTCAGAGGCAAATAAGCTTCCTCCTTCCCAAACATGGCAAAAGAGCAATCATGTATCTGTGCATAGCTACTAGACCCTGTCCCTCAGCACATGCATGCCTAACCCTGAAATTTCATGGAAAAAGTCAATACCCATTTGCCTGCAAACAGCATTTCCCCAAGGACTGTACACGCTTCTGCTCCAACTGGAGGACTAGACCAGAAATGATAAAACCAGAAAAAAATGTTTTCTAGAATCAAATTGATTCATGACCCATATATGGAAGGCAAATGCTCTACCACTCAGCTACCTCTCTACCTCTTTTTATTTCTTATCTGAGACTGGGTCTCACTAAATTACCCATGTTAGCCTCGAACTCACTCTATAGTCCAACCAGGCCTTGAATTTGTGATCCTTCTATTTAAGCTTTTCCAGTAGCCGGTATTCAGAGACCTATGCCACTATATCTGGAGTGTTCTTTAGATTATCTCTTTTAAATACGTACTGTCTGGCATACTTTTTACAAGCATGGGGCCATAGAGATGGCTCAGTGATATTGCTCTTCCAGAGAACCAAGTTCCAGTCCCATGTCAGGCAGCTCACAAATGCCTTAACTCCAAATCCAGTGGAACCAATGCCTCTCACCTCCTCAGGCACCTGAACTCATGCACACATACCCACATGCATTGAGTGCCATGCAAACACGCAAACACACACACACACACACACACACACACACACGAAAAATTTAAAACACTACTGAAAAGATAATTCAATGCAATAAAAACAGGGTGAACAAAATCCCAGTTCCACCATACAAACATAACCTTTACTACATAGTAACGTCCAGCCCCCCACAGCCTTGTATGTACATATGTTAATAACTTATGATCTATTATTATTTGTTTTGTTTTGTTTCTGACTGGGTTTCTCTGTGTAGCCCTAGCTGTCCTGGAAGTCAATATGTAGACCAGGCTGGCCTTGAACTCACAGAGATCCACCTGCCTCTCCTCTGCCTCCTCCCTGAGTACTGGAATTAAAAGAATACACCTCCACCACCCTATTATTTTTTGTACATTTTTACCACTCTCTTTAAACTTCAAAAATCTGACTATGTTTCTCTGTTATAACTCAGTCACTTAAGATTAAGTAGGGTTATCCATCATTTAAAAACAGGAAAATATTTTTGAGACATGTGTTTTTAGATGATTCTGTCATTCCACAAACATCACAGAGTGTACTTATACAAACTAAGATGGCTGAAATAGAACTAGATAATACAGTCCCATGGAACACACTTGTAGTCTGTCATTGTCCACAGCGTCTAAAGCACAAGACTAGTCGAAGTTAACTGCACAAACTTAAAAAAATGGCTAACCGACTTTCCCTAGTGTTTATACCCCTTTTCTCCTTTGCTTGTAGCCATAGCCCTCTCTCTCCATCTGTTGGCACTGCTGGTACAAACCAGGTCAGGTAGAATCAGTGACATATTGTTTTTAAAAAAGCAATGGATACCATTTGATTGATTTATTTTATATCTCTGACTGGGAATTGCTGAGATCTGTCAGAAATGAGGAATGGATGGAAAAACTAAAATTAATGTTAACCACACAAAAGGAACATCCCCAATGAATCTTATCAGCTCCTACTCTTTAACACTTTTTAGTTTTCCGAGTTCACACAAATATCTGCAGCAAACACTGAATAGATATAGATCACCACATACCCCTTTGTGACAGTCAAGACTTACACAGCAAAATTCCTTTAAGATTTCATTGAAAATTCCATTGGAAAACACCAGTATCTGTGTAGATAGCATACTCTATTCTTAGTGTGCTCACTAAGAATATCCGTTGTATTCTCAGAAACAGTCATTTTTATAGAAGAAAAAGAAATCCCAGTTAACATTACTGGAGAGTAAAAGGATTACAGGGTTTTTGGAGTCAGTAGGTATGGTCAGAAACCAGTCTTCTAGCCATAGTAACTGTGTGGTCTAATTTTGTGACTTATCTGAATTCAACTTCCTTTTTTTCCAAAGTTGAAAACTAAGTAGCTAGCCAAACCAAGAATTAAGAAATCTTATGATGTCAATTAATGGTTGCTACTGTTCAGTCACTAGTCCCCACCCTACTGACTGATTCCCCAAGAGAAGCGGCCTCACATCAGGGCAAGCCTCTACTCCATTCACACACAAGCAATTTACAAAAATACGTGTAGGCCCTGGCAGGTCTCAAGGCGGCCTGGTGTCTGACAAGGGAGCACGCCTGGAATAGGAGAAACTACAAACCAGCAAGCTCGACAAACAACGGGGTGAGGAAACGCGAGGAAGCAAGAACTCAAGTCCTGCTCATTTAAATGAAAGGTGGGCCGTTCAGAAGCTGCAGGCTCCAAACTCCTTTCCCTCCTCATCAGCTTGCAGCGGCCCGCGGAGGGGCCTACCCCAAGCCCACCCGGTTTGGCTCCTCCCTTCCCTAGATTGCACACCAGGCCAGGCCAGGCCAGGGCCGAACCCCCACGGCTACCCAGCCGGACTCAGAAATACCTGAACTCTGGGGGCTGCAGCGCATTCAGCGCCGCTTTATCAAGGCGCTCCATGGCGTGGCCGCGAGGGCAGCAGTAGGCGCTAGGTAGCTGGCGGGGTTCGGCGGCCGCTTGCAGGGCGACAGTCCTAGGCCCGTCGCACCGGAAGTATCTGGCCGAAGCACGCAGGTGCGGCGCTGCGTGGTGACGCCCGTAGGCAGCGCGCACAGGCGTAGGGCACGGGCACTCACGTGACTTACCGGCGCGGGCTCCGTGGTTTCCGTGCCGCCGCCGGTGGCTCTTTCTCCAGGAACAGGCCGGGCGAGTAGCCCAGCCACTCTACGTTGAGCCGGGACTTTCCGCGCAGCATCGTCCTTCCAGGCCCAGTGCCTCTCGTCTGCAGCTCGGTGCGGCTTGCGGTGCCACGGGAGCCTGGTGACCCGAGTTAGAGGAACCATGAAAAGGAGGACCCGGCTGTCGACTGTGGTGCTAGGCAACCGAGCAGTTTCCCACAACACAAAAAAGGCAATGCACATTATTCCACCAGCCCATGAGCAAAGACCTCGTTCATTCCTGCTTGCCTTGCCAGTCCAGCAGGAAGTTCAGAGGAGTTAGTTTAACACTCACCCGAGTCAGTAAATATAGAGAATTGTCCGCTGAAAGAGCCCTTGCTGAGAGTGACTGTTCCACGTTGGTAGCAGGTGACCCGAACTTCTACTAAGAGTTAAAAGTATGTTTTGCAGCTGTTGAGAAAGCCGCCAATGAGACAACAGGGACTCAAAAATAGTAAGGACAGACGGGGCTATGCTCCCAGGCAACCCGAGAGGCACCAACAGAAAAGGGTGTGTAAAGCCCTAGGACAGGCTTAACAAAATTAGGTTGCCCCTGGCTACTAATACAAGGACAGCCCTTACATGGTCAAGCCTGGAAAGGGCTGCTGACCGCATACCTATTTTCTGCACCACGGGATACTAAGCATACCTGAAATCACAAGTAAACCAGCAGCGACTCCTGGATTGAGCAGTAGGCAGCCGAGTTTCAATTTAAAAAATAACACCCCTGTAGGCCTCCTGCAGATCCTTAGGTGAACTTCATGGATGAAGTCAGGAAATGGAGAGCTGGGCGCCAGGAGTGACCCACTGGGCAGCCAGTCAAGTACTCAGAGTCTGTAGCCAGTTTTTCTCCACTTTGGTGGGAAAATGTCAAAGAATGATATCTCACAAACAACTCATGAAAATCATTGGAATTCTAATGTTCATAAGTAGAATTTTTTGGAACTGAGTCATGCACATTCGTCTGAATTGTCTCTACATCTGCACGCTGGGGTACATGTGACATAAGTGGCATGTTCCACAAATCCTAAAATATTTTTGTGTGGATTTGGAGTGGATGTGAGTAGAGGGTTTGGAACCAGGACCTTTGTAGCATGTTGCATAAGTGCTCTCCCACTGAACAACTACTCCCAGAACTTCCCAACCACCTTTTAAAATTTGACACAGGGTCTCACCCACTTAGTCAAGCCAGCCTTGAACTGATTCCACAGTCCAGGAGGACCTTGGACTCGGTCTCTTTGTCTCAGCCTCCCAAGTGCTTGGAATTACAGATCTATAGGGTTCTTTGCAGAACACTTTACTAATTACTGATCTTGCTAATCACCCCCTTGGTCCTTAAACCCCTGGGGACCCACAAACTTAATAATGAGTGTTCTGAGAACAAGTTTTAGTATTTCTAAAAAATTAATGGAACTTTAACAACTAAACATCACATTATTTGACTTGAGGTATAAACTATGTCACACGGATAAAGCAATCCTGTTCATCTAATGAGTAAATGGGAAGACTGTTACTAACCATAAGATATGCTATAGTATTTTTAATAGAACAAATCTTTAAAAATATGAATCTAAAAAACAATCGTGTGCACCCAATAGTATACAATAAGTGTTAAATTTTGTCTACATAAAAAAGGTTTTTGATAGTGAGAAAACTGTAAATTACAATGTAGATGTATTAATGTTTTCTGGGTCCATTGTAACAAAGGACCACAAAATGAGTTGTTTAAACACCAGAAGTTAATCCTTCTCTACTTCTAGAAGCTAGACTTCTGAGTTGGAGGTATTCTTTTTCTTTGAGGGGGAGTTCAAGGCAGGGTTTCTCTGTGACTTTGGAGGCTGTCCTGGAACTGGCTCTTGTAGACCAGGCTGGTCTTGAACTCACGGAGATCCACCTGCCTCTGCCTCCGGAGTGCTGGGATTAAAGGCGAGCATGCCAACGCCAGGCTGGAGATGCAGATATTCTTAAGGTTACTTCTGAGGTCTGCTGGAGAAAGATGTACCCATTCTGTGCCTCTCCCTTAGCATCTTCTCATTGACTGACACTTTGACATTTTTTGGCTTGTAGCAGTGTCTCTCTGATCTCTTCTTTCATCTTTTCATGGTGTTCTCCCAACATATGTGTCAGTGTTCAAATGCCCTCTATTTATAAGGACACCAATCCTATTGCATTAGGAGACTATACCACTTTCATATGCCAGTATCATAACTAATTACCAACAACATTTCCAAATAGGATTACACTCTGATGTGTGACTTGGTCACAAGGAAGGAGATCATAGTAGCAACACCATTATTTCCCCTAGAATCAGGAAATGATTCTCAGATATTTGTCTGGGACATTCACCATTGTTGAGACAATTGAGAACTATTAAGAGGTGACTTGCCCCAGATTTCTAGGGTCAGAGATATGATTAGAGAATTTATAACCCCTAACTTTTGGTCTAGTATTTTCCCCACGATATTGTTGTAAAGCCAGTGTCATCAACCAGATGGCATAGCAGGTATGCAAGTAAAGTCAGGTTTTTAGCTACCCCAAAATCTGCAATAGTGTCCCACAAAGCCATACTCCCATACATCTCCATTTGGAGCTCCCACTGTGGCTTTGAATGGGACAACAACACTTGAAAGACCAACCGAAACTTTGTGAGTCTATGACTACACAATATGGTGTTTCAGAAACTGAAGTACAAGGAAAACAAAATGAGCCACAAAATTCAGTCAACACGTGAGGAGTGGGGTTTGTTTTCATTTTATCAAAGGTAGTTAGTCCGACAAAGGCTCATGCTTACTGAAACTTCTCCTTCCACTTTGTACCAGCTAGTCAGTTGTCTCACCAATGGTTTGATATTTAATAAGCCTGGCAGAAATGAAGATAGGTATTCTAAAGAGAGACTTGTGCCTCTCAGTCTGACTATAAGACTATCAAAATATTGAACACCAAAGAAATGGGAATTTCCCCAGGAATCTCATGCTGGAAGAGATTTCACAGTTCTAATACTTTTACAGGTAGAGACTGAGAAGCCCAGACAAGAATGATTGAGTTGGGGGAGGGAGCAGGGGGCAGGACCACACCTTATTGAAGTTTGCTTAAAATGTGCATGTACTTGGCCTACTATTTGAACTTTAATCTCATTCCAAGACCCCCACAATAGACTTGGGGGTTTCACTGGATTGCTTCATCCATCTTCTCTATGTGGCCACGTTGACTAATTCTCCCTTTTCTGCTTTCCATTATTAACTGACTTACTAAGTACTGTTGGCGGGAAGGACCTGGCTTGGAACCCAAGTTTTTATCCCCAAGTTCTATAGCATCATTAACATAAGAAGGCTATCCATATGGTGTGGCAAGGCTCTAGCTGCCAGTCAAAAGTTCAAAAATTCTGGCCCAAGTGCTTTCATATGAGCCTGTCACAGTACAGAGAAGCATTATGACAAGGCCAGGATGAGTGCTTAGGAGTGGGTGGTGGTCTGTGTGCAGAACAAAAGCCGGAAGGTTGTACCTTGGGATAGCTAAGCCGGGGCTTGCCAAGATCAGAGTCAGTAGGTTCCAAACCCAGATCTCCCTGTCAGTTCAGGCACCAGAAAACTCAGATTTCCCTGAGGTCTTCCCAAACAACTAGTGGGAGGGGCAGACAGGGCGGCTCTGATTGAGCCAAAACAGATCTTCCTTCTGGCAAAAGCAGAAACTCCTCTCAGGAAGTCTGTGCACATTGCCCTGCAACCAGTGGACCTAAGGGTGAGATCTTGGTACCCAATCCCCATCCACGTGGAGGCTGCACTCCAACATTGACTGAATTAATTTAGTACATTGATGAATGGATGTGAGAAACCTAAGGGTTTTTCCCTTTTCCTTTCCCATCACTGGGTTGAAAAAAAAGTTAGAAACCCTAAACTAAAAGAAACAGAAAAATGTAAATACCATAGGAAAAAGAAAATCAGAAGCATGACAAGGGTTTGTGGCTATTTTGGATACTAATAATAAATGACAGGTTTGGGAGGGCTACTTGGTAGTAGTGCATGCTTAATGTGAGCAAAGCCCTATATTCCTTCACCAGGTCAGGGAGGGGAGAGGGAAGATAAAAGATTAAACACATCAGCCTCCTGCCTAAGGCCTTTCTCTCCCAGCTGCTCCTCTGGCTCCAGTCTTGGGAAGAAGAAATCCCTTGCAACAGGGGCAAGGTTAAAGGGAGTGCACATATGTGTGTGCATGCAAATGTAGGGGTGTACTTCTTCAAGAGTATGAGGGCATGGGGTACCATGTATCTCTGTGTGACTATGTGCTTATGAATTCATATATGCTGTTTGGAAAATGTGATTAAAAACAAAATCATCTCCCAGCCTAGAAAACCACATGAGAAAAGCAGAAAAAGAGAAACAAACAGCTAACGAAAAACTTGCTAAATAAGAATTAAATCCTAATGATCTGGCAGGAGAATCATGAGTTAGAGGGCAATCTAGGATACACAGGGAGTTGAAGATAGCAATACTTTGCATCAAAAGAAGGGAGCAGAAAGATTGTAGGAACCAGAAGGTCAGGTAATTTGCTGTAAGATCTTGTCTTAGGAATGTCAAAAGCTACACCCATAAAGTCTCACAAAACATGACTGCTCAAATAAGAGTTGAACAAAGACAACAACAATAGACAAGCTAAGATGGATGGGGGTGCTCAGGATGCTTCAACCCTATACAAAGAACTATAGGTAACTAAGGAATACAGAGAGTTGGAAAAACAGTCTTCCCCAAGGAAGACCATACCAATTAGTTATCCAATACCAAATGACCAGCCCTGAAAACATAAATGTGCAAGCAACATTTTACAGACTGAGCAGATTATAGTTAGGAATATACATACATACATACATACATACATACATACATACATACATACTCATATAACAGCAGTTAATTAAAAAGAGACCATGAATGTGAAAGAGCAAGGAAGGGTCTATGGCAGGGATTGGAAAGAGAAAGGAAAAGGGAGAAATGGTGTAGTTATTGTAGGGAAAAGGGACCAGTCAAAGAAACACACCCTGAGCAGAGCCAAAGAAACACACTTTGGCCCTGAAACCAGAACCAAAGAAATGCACCCTGATCCTAAAACCAGTGCCAAAGGAACACACTTTGTCCCTGGAATCAGAGTCAGTGAAAGAAATGTACCCTGGCCCTAAAATTGGAGCCAAAAGGATAAAAAGGACCAGAGAAAGAAACACACTTTGGCCCTGAAACCAGAGCCAAATATGACCCTAATCCTGTGTAAAAAAGTAACCAATCCCGGAGCAGAGCTCTAGCCAATCTGAGCTCAGCACTGAAATGGGATCAATCCCTATTCTGGAAAAACTTGCCCAACCCCAAGAATCCCTATATAAACCCTGTGTATGTTCAGCTTGACTGGTCCAGCTGCCTTCCAATAAACCCCTTTGGATGAGCTTCGGGTGAAGGTCTTCTTTTGCG